TTAGTATGATAGACTCTAAATCCATACAAGTTGCTGCAAAGTCCCATATGTTGTCCTTCTTGATGGTGCATAATATTCCATTATGCATATGCACCACGTTTTTTAACCCAGTCCAGCTTTGATGAGCAGCATGGTTGGCTTCATGTTTTTGCTATTGCAAATAAAGCTGCAATAAACACTCACATACAGGTATTTTTTTGGTAGAATGATGTAAGTTTCTCCTGGTATATTCCCAATAGAGGAGTTGTTGGGCCATATGGAAAGTTAATTTCTAGTTCTTTCAGAAACCACCACACTCTTTTCCAAAGAGGTTGCACTAGTTTACCTTCCCACCAGCAGTGTGGAAGTGTTCCTTTTTTTACACATCCTCACCAGCATTTGTTGTTTGTTTCATTAATGATGGCCATTCTTATTGGGGCTAGGTGGTATCTCAATGTGGTTTTGAATTGCATTTCTCTGATGATGAGTGAGGCTGACTGCACTCCACTCTGGGCGATAGAGTGAGACTCCAACTCAAAAAAAAAAAAAAAAGAAATTCCACCAAAGTTTACTCATGATTGCTTTTTGGAATCTGTATTTCTGAACTAAAAATCTTCCTCATTCTTCTTTATTGTCCATACATTTCATGATATCACATAAAGCAGATTATGTGGGTATTTGGAAAAAGTATGTATGTAAACCATAACTTTCTAGTCACATCAAGAATATAAAAATTTATAACCCTGGACCGTACCTTGGTCTTCATAAACTTGGAGTGACTTTTGTAAACCTCGATCTGTTTGATCTCTTCTTCGCGGTCCTCAGTGTTCAGCACACCATTGGCTTTTAGCATCTGGATCTCATCCTCAAGATCCCTTATGTTTCGTTCTAATGAAGCGATTTTTGTGTCCTGTTGGTAAAAACAGAAAAGGAAAATAAAGAATAAAAATTGTTTTTTAAGATCATCAAAACATAATTTAAGAAAGTAATTTTGGTAGTGCACATTAACTATGGTGTAGATATAGCCCTGAATTCAGAATAATTATTGTGTTCACATCTGAGGATCATTTGTGAGATTACTGTTTAAGTTACCAATCAAGATCATGTGTCAGTACAATACAGAGAGTTACCTAGATATGTTTGCCTAATATCTTGGAATCAAATTACCAAAGCAACAGTGGTAAAAGTAATCTCAAGTGTTAAAAAATGAAAACAAAACACCATGTAAAAGGACACATTTTAATTTGGGATACAGTCTGCCAGTGTATATTTTTCAGTCTACTTGTAAACACAAAAGCAGTTTGTTCCTGTATATACTCTATGGCTGGTTTTATAAGGTATGCTTGGAATTTGACTCTAAGAGAGAAAAAAATTCAAATATACTAATGGAAAAAAGGATTCTCATCTAAAATACAGACATGAGTGAAATTAAATAACTGAATCTTGACTTAGTATGACTGATACACTAAATACTGAAAATTTATAGCGACTGGAAATAATATATCACAATGTCATAATTTATTTGGAAAGCAGTCAGGTCCCTACGTGACAAAACACATGACTACCTTGCAGGGCATTTCTAACCTATTGATTTACAGAGCTGAAAAACTAGAAATATTACACTCAGATGTGGAATTAATTGGGGAAAAAACAATGACATACTCTATATACAAGATAGAGCATAATAAGGAACGATGCATTAGAAAGTAGAGAAGGGCAAGTTCTTACAGGGGAACTATTAAAAAAAAAAGTAATGACAACAACAACAAAAACATTTCCCCAACTTTAAGTATTGGGCTCCAATCAGTCTTTCGAGTTTGATACATCAAAAGTTTGACTTCAAGTTTTCTCACAGTCACATCTACTTGTCATTTTACGTATAGATTCAAGGAGCTTGTATTAAATTTGTAATCTTATGCTAATAAAAACAAGCACGAATTTTTTTAACCAATTCTTTTTTTTAGAATCTAAAAAACTAAGAATTTCCATAGTAGAGACAAAGAATGAACTACTGTGTTTATAAATCATTAAAAAAAAAAAACCTTGTAACATAGCAAATATGTCTGTCCTGACTTTATGACTATTGTCTGTTTTTTAAAATATTATATCCCCAATAGTATATGAGTAATATAATAATTATTGTTATTGTCATTAATATTGTCACCATCTTAAAAGGAGAAAAAGGAAGAGCAGTGACTACTTAGGAAGATCTATGTGCCAAGAACTAAGTGCTCTAAGCACTGTAGACTCTCTTATTGATACTCAGAAAAATCCTAAGAAGATAAAATAAAAAGATTCTGAATATCTCAAGATTATTACAAAATGTTACAATCTGTAGTATTTCATTTTCCTTTAAAAATAATGTCCATTGTATTTTTTCCAGTTACAAAAGCAATATACTTTCAATTAATAGAAAATGGAGAAAATCTCCTCTAATCCTACTACCCAGAAATAACTACTCTTAATGTTTTGTATATATTCTGCCAGTATTTTTCTATTTAGATGTAATTTGGGAATCTTGTATACTGACAATTTGAGTAAAAGAAGTATTACAGACTGAATGTTTGTGTTCCCCTAAATTTATATGTTAAGCCCTAATCCCCAGTGTGATAATACTTGGAGATACAGTCTTTGGAAGGTAATTAGGATTAGATGAGGTTATGAGGGTGGAGCCCTCATGATGGGATTAGTGCCCTTATAAGAAGAGATACCAGGGATCCACAAAGGAGAAGAGATACAAAGCACAGAGAAATATAAGATATAGTGAAAATAAAAGACCAACAAAATGCCTGCCATATTCACTTCCTCTCAAAGAATTCTTTGCCTCAGTTCAAAGAAATCAAGGAGATTTTTATCTTTTTCTTTTTAAAAAAAATCTCTAAAACTAAGATAAATCACTAAAAACATATATATTTAAGGAGGACTATGGAAGTCCATATCAAGTTATGGCATAGCTGAATGTAGTATATGGATATTGAGATACTTAATGCGTATTCTCAAAAATTCTAAGTACTGATCTAGAATACAGAAAAAAACTTTAGTGAAGACATATGTTGTAACGTCCTGAAAAATGGAGTTTTGGAAGGTAAAGCAGCATTTTACTCCCTCATTGCCAGAGTTTTCTTAATCTGAATATTTTACATGTTATTTATAACTGATATTTTAAATCAATTTATGTAGTGATTTTCAAACACACATCTTGACATATTTCACAAGAACAAGCTCTAGAAGCAGATAATCATAGGCCTTTCTTAGGGATGGGGAAAATGAAATACAATATCGAGTAACTTTTCCCAGAATCCACAGAACCCAAATGCTTCGTGAAAGGGGGGTTGTAGGGTCCAATAAGTCTGTAAAATACTTATTGGGGATTCTCAATGCACATTAGCATGAATGGCTCTAGGAAGCACTATTCTATTTAACCTTATTTATCCCAGTATTATTACTTCTAGAAGCAAATTCTCGAAAAAAGATTAGGAGTTTAATGATCATGTTAAGCTCTGGGTTATAGTACTAAATCGAAGAGTCAAAACAATGATTTGGATTCTTCAAAGGGAAACTTGCCAAAATTACCCCCAATTTCAAATAAGTGGAAGTTTAAATATCCATATCACCTTGTCAGTTTCTGTCACTCAAAAGTGGTTTATGGAGCACCTGCCCTGAGTCCAGCACTTAAGACCACACCAGTGAAAGACCAGATGTGAATTCCCATTCTCTTGGAATTCACTCCCTCATGACTCAGGTGACATTTTCAAACGGTCTTGAAACACGACAACCAAGAAATTGTCTTGATTTTATACTATATTTTGGTTAAGGACTGTAAGAATGCAGGAAAAAAAATTGTTGGGGGAAAAAAACCTAAAATATGTCTGCTTTTTTCCCTGTTTAAAAAAAAAATCTTGATTGAGTATCTCTTTCAAATCGTTTCTTTCCACACGTTCACAAAATAACACTTTATACATTTTATACTTTATATATAAAGTGCAGATCACAGCTGCTACTTAATGATTCATATCCAAGACTATTTTACATATATCATCAAAAGATGTAAAATAGGTATTTGATGGGCAACTAATAAATAACTCACTGAACTTGAACCCCAGCAGCCATTTTCCCACAGGGTCTACCATGCTCATTTTTTAACCAGCCATAAATATTAACACTAGCCCCTGAGGGTAGTAACAATAGCAATGAGGATGAAAGTTGGGTGGGAAGAGTGAAATAAGTTTTTAAAAAATAAGTTTTTAAAAAATCATCTCAATTCTTCTAGTACATGTATGCTATAGAGTGATAGCAAGCTTAGACAGAGAGTTCTCTAATTCGCTATTCATTCACTCAACAAATACATATTGGACACCTATTAGGTCCCAGTCATCTTGTCAAGTATGTAAGATACCAGGTAGATATCAACAAGATTCATGGGCATGCTTCTCTGTCTAAACACAAAGTACAGTCTAAAGCCCTGCTACTCAAAGTGTGGTCAACAGCACCGACATCACCTGGAGGGTTTTCGACTTGCAAAAGCTCAGGCCCCAACTCAGAACTACCAGATCTGATCTGCCATTTCACAAGGTCCTCTGGTGATTCAGGTGCTCTAAATGACTGCAAGTGTCCAGAAGACAAAAGGGACAAGACTGACCAATGCAGAGGAGACTAGGGCAACTTTACTGGCCATGTACATTTAGAAAGATATAAACCTATCTTTTTATTATTTTATTTTGTTTTATTTTAAAGATGTGGCAAGTAATTCAGGTTTAGGTAGATAAGTGGTCATCCCTTTGGGACTCCCTTTGGTCCCCACTATGCCTGGCTTGAGATCAGGTGATATAAACCCATCTTAAGAGCCATCTATCTTGACGTAAGTGTACCTCCACCCTGGGAGTAAATTTTCTGGAGTATCTTTGCTGGTCAGGATGCCATTACTACTCTTTTTGTGTTTGTTAAACATTGTGTTCCCCATAAACATCAAGAAACAGATTTCAATTCCTCTCTAGGAACTGTGAACACTGAAATGGTGAGTGGGTGGAACATCAAAAAAGAAAATGCAACATCATTTAGTCACAAAAAGTGACAATTATGTTATTACTGAGTGTCACAATGTGTTTTTCTTTCAAACACAGTAAGAATTACTGGTTTCATTCTAATATCGGGCCAAGAAAGAAAATATAAGCAGTTTTTACACGGCATAGAATTCACTGTGATCACATATCGGTCTACGGAGGTTGATCAACAAACTGAGAGCCAATTTAGTTCAAAGAAGATGTGATCTAATGTTCAGGAAATGTCCCTACATAATTATATTATACTTTATTTAGAATAAAATTCTAAACTATTATTACTAAATACCACAGAGGCTCCTAAAGGCTTAACTTTTTAAAACCATCTAGTCATAGCTGCAAACATAACTGAGCAGCCCTGGGTCTTAGGCTATCTAAGTAATGCCCTGCCTTTGGAAGGATTTACTGTATGGGATTATTGTGGTTATATGAGCCCAATTAGGCACTCCAGAAAGAAGTCAACTTAAGCTTAAAGCACATTTGGAGAAAAAACAAATACAAAAAGTCAAAAAATGCAACTTCTTGACCTTATCAAACTATAAAAAATGATGACCTAGATTAGAATATTACGGAAGAAACATGCTGTTTCTTGGTGGTGGTGGTATTTCTGTGTTTGACTGTTTATACAGATAGTATGTAATTCTTTACGGCAAAATACACAAGGACAGAATCAGATTGAACTAAGTCAAATTAAAATCAATTAGAGTGGGCCAGGCACAGTGGCTCATTCCCGTAATGCCCCCTCTTTAGTAAGCCAAGGCAGGAGGATCACTTGAAGCCAGAAGTTTCAGACCAGCCTGGGCAACATAGCAAGAGCCCATACCTAAAAAGTAAAAATAATTTTTAAAACTTT